CATCACCCTATAAACTTGTACCAAAACAGTGCACGGAATTTTTGAGTTCGAGGAATTTAAAAACAGCTCCCATAAAAAGTCAGCACGAATACCTGCCAAGCCGTAGGATAAACACAAAAAAGTCCCATTTAATAAAATTGTTTCCTCAACTCCTAGCAAAAAACTTAATTATTTGCGTTGCAAAATTCTTGTAAGCAACTGTTTTAAGTGCACGAAAAGATGCAGCTTTTGGTGACTGAAATTAGTTCAAAAATTACACTAAATGTTACCACGTAAAGCTGTCAGTACGAAAGGATCGTAGCCACTTAAACGTAAAATAGCGTCTTAGAAAATATCTTCCACAGTTATTGAGAAAATTGCCAAAGCAGCCTGCATATTTTTTTTCTCTGGAAGAGGCGAAAACCTTTCGGATTTTCGCTTATAACCTGCCATTTTTTTCACTAAAAAATCACAATTCTCAAGCAATGCAGCACTTATTTTTATTAAGAAACCTTCGAGCCGCCTTTTATAGCACGACGTTGCGAGAGTACTGTTGTCGTGCAGAAGAACCAAGGTTCGGCTCCATCATTTGGACAATCAAACCCTCTAGGATTCGTTTCGATGGTAAATTGGTACTGGCATGTGCAAGAAACCCGTCATAAGCTTGCTCCTAAGCAGCAGTCAAAAGGAGGAGCCATAAGGGGCCTTGTAACTTGTGGCTGTTTGTTATGCGTTTTGTGCTGTGTAACAACAGTACAAAACGCATATTGACACGGGATTGTCTGTGTGTGTATGTGTGTCCGCAACTTTCAACTCGGGAACTACAAAAGCTAGGAAGCTGAAAATTTAGGGGAACGTCCCCTACCCACGTGTGACCCCGCAAATTTAAATTCACCTTCCCCGTACTCGCGGGTAACATGTATGGCCCCGTGGAAGTTTTTACGGGTAAATTAATATCTCGGGAATCACAAAGTCTTGGCGGCTGAAATTTTAGGGTAATGACCCCCTGCCCACGTTCAACCTTGCCCATTCAAATTCAGCGTTCCTGCGCTCTTGGGTGCCATCTACGGGCTAGTGAAAATTTTGGCGGATAAACTATTAACT